TATCTATCTATCTATCTATCTATCTATCTATCTATCTATCTATCTATCATCTATCTATCCATTTATTTATGGCATGTTTGCATCTTAGGTCCCTATCCCTGTAGCTATAGCCGTATTTCTGGGTTTTGCTGGCCTTTTCAGTTCCATCCTTTTTTGTCTGGCCCTTTCACCTATCTGAGTTGTTCATCGTGTCTCAAGTCCTGTGTTGCTGGTCTGGGTAACATGATTCATCCTGCAATCCTGTTAGTACACTGATGCCAGTGTGATCTTTCTGCAATTTTTGATAGTACTGCAATTAAAGACCTTCAGGATTCCATACCAGATATAGGAGCAGACCTCAGGAATTGTGGTCAGTCTGCAAAGTGAGTATAATCTAATGCAGAGCTCTCAATCTGGTTTCTGTCTCCTCTTTGTTCCTCCACCTTACAACTCAAGGGATAGAGATGGATTTAATTCTTGTGTCTGAAGGTAAGTTTGTGGTTATCTTATGAAGGAAGCATTATGATAGTCTCTCATTCCAAGGAAGAATGGAGATAGGTAAATAGGAAAGAGGGGCAGGGGGAGAGGAATGCCTTTGGACACTCATTGTCTTCAGCCCCTCTTCATGAAGCCATTTTAGCTAAGCTGGCTGCATTTCTGAAGTTTGCCAGTAGATGCCACCATAAAATGCATGCTATATTTTTACCTGAAAAAGGTCTTGGAAGCTTCAGTTTATATAAATTAATTAGGTTCTGTTGTTACGAATTTAAAAATGCTATATGTTTTATAGTAGGCTAAATATGTGGTTACAGAATATTAATTTGGTTGGAAATTACCCATCTTATGTGTTGTTAATTATTGTTTTGCTTGAAAATGTTTCAGAAGTGTTTTTACACTACTTAATGCACCTTTAGTCATATTTAATTTTTAAAAGTATTAAAGCAAATAGTTATCAAATTCTTGAGTACATAATGGCAGAGGCAGACAGTATATTTAGTAAAATAAAGAGTACTAACTTAGATGAAGATGCTTGTTCATACTATTGCCTAGCAGTTCGGCCAGCCACTTGGTTTTCAACTATGCCTGTCGTTGCCATCCTCACTGTGTTTTCTGCCGGGGACTGTAGTGTGGTGAAGGGGAGCTGCAGTTTAATTCTCTGATCTAAGTCTTCTTAGAGTGTTTATCTAAGTCAGCAAGAGCTCATTCTTCCTTTCACTTCCCTCTCACACCCCCTCTATCTTTTTAGTCTCATTCTCCCTCACAAGCTTTTGTTCATGCTGGAAAGCCAGCCCATAGCACAGAAAGCCTCGAGGATTGTTAAACTTCTGGAGCATCCAAGTTCTAAAAGCACCAACTTGAATGAAGCCACTGGATTAACAAATAGACACTAGAGAGTCTAATGGTTGGCTTGATTAGGAAATAAATGAATTAGTCATAGTAGCAGTGTTTAGAATGTTTGCTAATGCCTAACATGTTAACCTTGGCAAATAGTTGAAACATAAGTCTTGTAAATCTTTTCCTAGAAACAATTCTGCTGATGAATTACACCATTTTGAGAATTTTATTCTTATAGAAGGAATGGGGGAAATAAATGATAGTGTTCTTCCTAATATGTGAAAATTTTATTCTTATAATTTGCAACTAAGACATTATTTCATCTTTGACTATCAAATTTTTTGTTAGTTTATTTGTAGCTTTAATAAACATATATAATTGACCTTGATACTTCAATAAAAGGATATACTTAAAAACCACTTAGAAGACCATCTTTAATAAAAAGGGTTTTTCTCAGGTCAGTAACCTCATCCAGCATTACTTTAAGGCAGAGATCCTGTGACCTGTAGCTACTGTGCTAAAATTCCCCCATTAGTGTTTGTATTATCACTTAGAGGCTCCTTAACATGAGGAATCACATAGGGAATAATATGCATAGCATTTCACAACTACGAGAACAAGTCTAGCCTAGTTAGGGGAAAACCAACCAGAATTGGAATTACACAAACATTATTGACAGTACTTAAACCATAAAACATCTAGTTTAAAATGTTGATACAATACATATAATAGCTATGTATGTATATAGTGTGTTCTATAGTTGTCATGTTTTTTTCAATAGTCATCCTTAATGGCCCTAAACAAGCAGGATGATAAACTAATACTAGTCTTTTTTGAAAGGGCTGATTACACATTTGTCAATTCTTGTACATTAATAGCTAACCACCAAGTCATTAACATACATAAACACGCATCATGTAAAGAAAAGTAAATTGCTGTCCCTCAGGCATAGTAGTAGCAGCTTGTCACTACCAAGCCACGTCATTCACATCGTTGAAATCTGTAAACCATGACTTTTATATTCATCCTGAGTGATGATAGACTGACTTAAGAGCATGTATCATATATTATAAATAATTTTTACAAATTAATGGAACCAAAGTACATAACAGAATTTACCATCAAAACTCTTTCAGAAGAGTAGTTCCCAGAAAAAAACAGAATGCCAAAGTGCTAACTATGGATTCATTTTGGCTATAGTTCATCCAATTTGTCTGTTCTTTTAGTAGAAATATAAGTTTAAGTTTAAAGTAATAGCTGAAAAGCAAGTTCTTATATAAGTGAAGTGATTCCTAGAACCAGCCTAGACTTCTGGTTACAGAAGTAGGACAAAGTACCAGGAATTACCCTTTAATTAACAAAAATTTAATAATGCTGGCTAACATTCTTAAATGCTTCTTAATGCTTTGGATGAGTAGGCAAGTAAACCATAGACCAAGAATCAGGTGAAGAAAAGTCAGAGAGACAAGTCAAAAATGGAGCAAGTCACATAGTGGGCCTGGTGAACTGGAGATTGTATTCTGTGTGTGTGGCAGGTGTGTGTGTGTGTGTGTGTGTGTGGGTGGGTGTGGACCTGTGAGTGGGAGCTGGAGATCAACCCTCTAGGAGCTGTCCACTTTGTATTTTGGGCCTGGTCTCACTGGCATCTGGATCTTGCCTAGCTGGCTGAGGTAGCTGGCCAACAAGTCCCAGGCATCTGCTCTCCTCACCTTCCTAGCTCTGTGATTACTCGAGCACGCCACTACACTGGGCTTTTTATGTGTATGCTGGGGATCAAATTCAGGTACTCATGCTTGTGGGATAATCATGTTACCAACGCTATGGCACAGGATTGGCACAGCTCAAATTACAGGTCTGATATGGACATATAACCCCGCAGGGATGATCCCTCAGTGTAAAGATGAACTAAGAATGAAGACTGTCTAATCCGATAAAAGGGTTCCTATAAAAACCTAGTTATTATAAATTGTCTTAGCATTCAATTTAAGATTCAGGTGAGAGCTCGTGCGTCATCATGTCTTTGCAGCCCAGTATTTGATGGACAAGTCAAATTAGCGTGGCAAGAAAATTAAATGGTAGGTAAAATAATTAAAAGAATAAAACTATCTGGTAGTGATATGATTGTATTGGTTCAAAATTCAAAGACTCTAAAAGAAAAACATTAAAATAAACAGTAGAATTTAGCTATTGCTCTGTTTATAATGAATAAATTCAAAACAATCTTATTACTATATTGCTACTCTGTAGGAAAAAGTTTTAGAAAAAATTTCCCCAATTAGAAAGTAAAAAGAGTAAATCTAATAAGAGTCATAGTAACTCCCTCCTCCTGAGGATTATATCAAATGAGGAGTTCTCAGTCTGCCCCTCCCACCTTTCTGCACACTCAGCACCTGACCCCCAGAAGGCAATGCTAAAAAAAAATGGCCTTCAGGAAAAGCCATTTATCCTGCTCATTTGCCAGTCACAGCTTACTACACTAGCTCTTTCCCAGGGGAGGATTGGAGATATTTGAATATTTCCCTCTAGTCTTACCTAGCTCAGTGAGATGTCTGCTCAAAGTATAGATTTCTTTCTCAGAACTGATTTTTGCCTGAAATGCTTCCCACATTGCTCCAGCATAAAAGTCACCTGTGGCACCAATGTCACCCTTCCTGGAGAAAGTGATTCAGTAAGCTAGCATCAGGAGTTGGTGTTTCAAACAAAATTGAATATGATTCTTATGCTAGGAAACGTGGCAGAGACTGCGCTATTGAGCTGCCATCGGACTTTCAATTCTCTGTGATTATCTCAAAAATTGCCCTTTCCCCTTGGCCCAAATATTTAGCTGATCAATCTTACTTCACACGCTTGTTAGAATACCTAAGATGTATAATCTGGTCATCAGATATTGAGGATGAAAACTTCAGCTGATAGGTTTTCCTTTATGCTACTACAAAGGAGAAGCTTAGTAGCATGGCCAAGGTACAGAGAGGCAGAGCTGTCATAACTCCATGTCAAACCAGAGTGCTGTCTTGTTGGACACAGCCTTTCTAAGAATATCTCATGACTTCAATGGAAACCCTGTTTCTATTGGACACCTCTAATTTTTTCTTCAGAACAGACCAAGGTCTATCCTCCTGCGCATTTCTCACACTGGACCTATGTCAGTCCTGTAGAGCAGAAGCTGCAACCCAAATTCAGGCACAGAAAGAAAACATTGATTGCAGGTTTTGAAAAACACTAGCCTATTGTCTGTAGCTGGTTTAGTTTTTGGTTTGCTTTGGATCAATATTGACTTGCTTAATTTCCTCTTCTGTATATAATAATCCTTTATGTATGGCGGTATAGTATTTCTTTTGGGTTAGCTTTCTTCTTTCCTCTTCCTTTCCTGGAATACCATGTGACCTAGGATAAGTTATTCAATTTTTATGAGACTCAATAATAGCTTATTGAGTTGGTTTTAAGATGAAATGATATTCCAGGCTGTTTTAGGTGACTGTTTTTGTTGTCTTAGTATTGTGTACATACTTTAAGTATTTCAGATACATAGAAATTAATCTGATCTGTCATTATATTTTATACAGTTAAAATTTTTTTCAGCTTTCATATCAAGGAAGATGTAATGTATGACATCTTGGGTTTTAGAATAACTTTTTGTTTCGCATGGTTTTTATTTTTTCCTTAAGTGCTTTGCTATTTGATGTATAAGATCAAAGTCATGTTTTTGAAAGGTGTTGATTAACACGGAGAAATAAGTTTGAAGCTTATAAGCATACTATCACTTACAAAACTCTTACAAGCAAACTCTTATTCTATTCCCAGCCTTGCAGGGGGTCGGATATTCTCTGCAATAAAGACACAGCTGATCAAAGGCCACAGCAGTGGGGAGCCCTTTTATAAAGCAGTAGAGGAAGTTGTTCAGGATTTGAATTTGAGGATTAAAAATATTATTAATTCTCAAGAAGCTATAGCTGTCAGCGCCACCAACATCAGTCCTGTCCCGGTAATGGATTTATTCTTTATTGTTCTATATAAAACATAATCTCCTCTATTCATTTCAGAAATTGTTTGCTGTTGCTACTTAAGTAAGAAGATGTATTTTCTACATTTTAATTTTCTCAATAGGATTATGTTCAACTTAGGACAAATCATAACATCTTTAGTGAAAATGTATTTGTTAAAAAGGCGTTGGATAATCTCTGGTGTCTCTTAATACTTAAGGTGCTTAGAGCTACTTTTCAATAATTATTCCTATAATACCATTCTTTTTCTATTTGCTTAGATTCAAAATAATAGTCTTGTTTTGACCAGTACTCTTCCCTCTTGCAAGGCAGCAACAGTTCCCGAAGACTAGTTTTGTAGTCAGAAGTTTAGTTTTCATTTATAGAGCTATATAATTTTTTTATTACTAACTACATTTCCAGTTGATTACAATTCAGTCTTCCTTATACTTGAGAATCTTATACAATATGCACTTCTTCCTTGGCTTTCTTGCATCAATAGTCAATTTTAATAGATTATTGCTGCAGAAGTGAGCTACCATGACTTTAAATACAGAACAGAACCTTAGAGTATATATTATAGTAGATCTGCCTTTTTCTTTTGTTTTTCTTTCTTTGTTTTTATTTGAGCTGAAGTTTTACTGTGTAGCCCTGGTTGGTTTGGAACTCCCTATGTAGCCCAGGCCAGTCTCAAACTCTTAGCATAGTCTTCTGATGCTGGAATTACACCTTAAATGATTATGCCTGACTGTATTGTTGTATCTATTTGGTTAACAAAGGCCCTTTCATTAGGTATTACCACAGCAGGCAGTACAGGAAGGAAGACTTTTGCCTTGCCTATTTATTCATTCTTTCATCTACAGGCCTTGGCGATCATTTTTTCTAATTTTCCTGCAAAAATGTGCCTTCTTAGATTTACTTCAAAGGCATCATGGGGAAGATTCTGGGATTCTCCCCTATTTATTTCATGCCAACATTTTGAGTGACTGTGTTGGCACAAAGCATAAGGTTTTGTATGCGAGTGCAAGCCAGGAACCACCGCCATCTCAGATGCTCAGTGCCAGCCTCCCATCTACAGGCATCAGAATCCTGACACAAACCACCTGCTGTTAGTTTTGTGTTTCCCACTAAATCACAAATGTTGAAAATCCAGTCAAATGATATTCAGCGAAGGTACTGTTAGCAATGTGGCATGTGCTGACACTGCTATATGAACTATGTGGTAAGTACCAGATCATGGTAAGCTCCTGGTTTTACTTTGAGTAGCGCTGTACATTACATCTGGTGGCCTGAGCTGCCAAATAGAGAAAAGAAGCCAAATGATGAATCTTGAAGGGACTGGCACAGGTGCCACCCGAAAGGTTATCTCTGATATTTAGGCAGTGTCCCTCACCCCAAATGGAAGGACACTGTCACTACTTTCCTTTTGCCAGTGAGTATGTCATAAACATAGACAAGGTAAGCATCTCCTCAGAGTCCTGCAGTGGACATAATTAGTGGGATATTTCAAACCTAACAAAAATGCCCATATATGTTCATATGAACCTGTATGTAATTTTGCATTGGCAGATTACCTATCACATTCATTTATTCTGTCTAATTACTACATTTTCCAGCTCTTCCTTTTTAATCCATCTTCTTTGTCTCTAGTTCAGGCTATTTCATTTCAAAACTAATTTATTGTATTCTTCTAGTCTGCTGTAGCCATGCCCATATTTGACAAATTTTACCCTAAAATATATTTTACATGTTGCTATTGTTGATTTTTCTAAAGTATAATTAAGATTATTGTACTTGTTTAATAAAGCAAGATGTTTTACCTTTGTAGCAGGCTGAGCCATAACATCAGTGCATGACATGCAGGGTTCCTTCAGACTCCTTCACTGGAACTCTCTCTCACCTAGAGACCTAGACTTCTCCTCCTACCTCACCTCTGAGCTCCTCTCTCTCTGTGACTCCTCCCCGAGGCTGTCCTTCACTCCATACAGCATTGACCATTGTCTTTTAGGTGCTTGCACCACAGTGTATGTCCACCTTGGAAATATCACAGCACTGTAATGAAACTTTGTGATGAAGGTACCTCTTAGAAGGTACTGGTTTTCACCTTTGAAGCTTTAGTTTCTTAAAATAATGCTTAGAGCATAGAATAATCATGTATTTCCATTTGATTAAATCTTTTCATTTTGCCTTGTTGAGACCGGGTCTCATTATAAGCCAGGCTGATCTTCAAACTTATGTAACTGAAACTAGTCTCAAACTCATGCCTCCGCCTCCCCAGTGAGGGACATAGGCATGTACTACCACTTCTGGCTCTTAACCATGTCTGAGTTTGTTTTGGGTTGCCAGAACTCCAGCCCCCTTTTGTATAAGAGAAAAAGTACACAGAGATTTAGAGGTAAAGTCATGGGGTTGAGGCCTAACTAGATAGTGATTAGATTTTTCTATCTTAAAGACTAATGTCCCTCACATCAGAAACAAATGCCTTCCTTTGATGATATTCTTATATGTCTAAAAATTGGTATAGTGTGGCTTAAAGGAAAAATGTCTGCATATCTTATATCCACTTTTTCTAGCTGATTTTCTGTGATTTCAGCAATAAATGAAGAAGCGTGCCATTTGAAATAGAAATGTGTGGCTGACTTATCTATCTGGTGTGGTTATTATGTATACTTTAAAATTAATTTTTGTTTTAGCCAAAATCTTTTGCCATAAACCATGATACCGCATACTGTGGCAGAGATGCTGTGAAGATTTTACTGGTTCTTTTGGATGAAGACGCAGCCCGTGCTCCTACCAGAAATAAAGCCGAGCTTTTATACAATGAAGGAAGTACAGTTCCTCACGGTGGAACGTCGATTCTTACACTCTTTAAGTACGTAATATGGAAGCTATGTGTGAAGGCACTAACTTGACTTTTTTTTTTAAATAGAAAGTACCTTGTTGATTATCAGAGGAACTTATACTTATGGTAGGAAACTTGAAAGTGACTGTGGAGTATGGTAAAGGCAAACAAAAGCTAAAGGAAGATTGGGCACTTCACTGTAGCCCAGTTATAGTTACAATGTAGCATTTAAGAGTGTTTTCAGTATATTGCTATAAAAATATTTATTTGTTTTGGTGTACGTCAGAACTTTGTTAAATCACAGCCCTTAAAGCAATTCTTTTTTAGTAGTGTTCCTGATGTCTAGTGAAGACTTGAGGCTTGAGAGTAATTTTAAAATATGCCAAAGAGAGCTCAATTAACAAGTAGCAAAGACTTCTCCCAAACGTGGAGTCATTCTTTATTGACCACTATTCTGTGTAATCACAGGATGAGGCATACACACCATATTTATAGCAGGGTTGGCATTTGTTAGCTTCCTTGCTAAGTGAATGTTGATGTTATATAAAGACCTTGACACTGCCTTGGCATTGCTCCAGCAGCCGTAAGTACCATAGGCGGATACAGACTGCAGTTATACAACAGGCCTGCTGTGAGGAGATAGCAGCAGAGGTGGCACAGTGGGTTCTGGTGAGAACCTTACCTCCTTAGAGGATGCCATCTTGTTTTGTTTTGCTTTCCTTACATGATCGTTTTAATGTGTGCACGTTTTCTCTCTTGTCCCTTTCTTACCAGGCATGTGTTCTATCCAATTGAGAAGTTACCCTTGGAGATCCTTTAACTGGAGTTGTCTCTTCCATTTGTGTACAGTCACATTTAATGGTTAAATACAATCACATGGCAGGTTTTTTTCTCCTGTAAATATGCTTTTGAGAGTAGGGAGAAAATTAGTTTAAAAGCTTCTCTGGCTTATGAGTGTCATAGTTTATTTGAGTTGCTACCAAAATGTATTTTGGACTGGGTAACTTTCAAATAACAAATTAATTTCTCATAGTTCTGTAGGCTAGAAACTCAAGATCACAGTGTCAACAGGCTGATTGTCGTTGGTAGGTGGAGGCCTGTTCGTTGTGAATTGCACTTGCCCATGCATCTTCATATGGCAGAAAATTTGAAAGGATAATGTGAGTGAGGCCCTCAAGTGCTCTCACTAATCCATCACCGACCTCAGCACCTTCTCCAGGCCTTCCCTCTGAGCCGTGTTTCAGTGGCGACTAAATGTCAATGTACATTTTGAAAGGACAGGAACATCCAAGCCCTATTAATATGCTTCATTTGTTTTCCTCCCATAGGTCTCCAACACAAGTGAAGAATACATCAGTTAAACCCCTCAGAGAGCGAATCCATAGGTCACTAGAAGCAGAGAAAAATAAGGTATATGAAAGTTCATTTTATACATAAAATGATAGCTATTGTTTTATTTTGGGAGAAATGAATATATAAAACTAGGCTGGATTTTGTAATTATGCAATTCATATAACACAAGGAGTAAATGAAAAATTAGCATTGACAGTTTGTGGAGAACAACATTGCTTTTATATAATCTTGACCTATCTGTGGCTTTTTAATTTACTGGCTCTAAAATGAAAGAAAGAAGTAAGCAGAGCTATTGTAACTGTTAGATCAGTGTGTATGAATGAGTGAAAGAAAAAATAAAGAAGCTGTGTCCTTATGTGTATGTCAGCATTTTTAACGGAATGGAGACTTGATATGCTGCCATCCTGTAACAAGACCTGACATGGTCAGCTGTAAAGGGAGAGGGCCTTCAGATCGCATCCCAAATTATCTGTACTCTTAAAGTTATCTGTAATCCTAAAAGTATTATATATTTTTAGGATTATATATTTGTATATATTATATATAATATATGTAATATGTATATATAATATATAATATAATATAATATAATATAATATAATATAATATAATATAATATATTTGTATATATTATAAATTTTAATTATATAATAGATAATATTATATATATATACACATACATACATATATATATATATATATATATATATATATATATTCCAAATTATAAATTCCGAAGGCACAATGGTAGAAGATCTTTAGTTATAGATTCAGATGAGAGAGTCTTACATTGTTCCTTAGTGGTTATCTGTTTTCATGTAACGTGAAGTAAGTTTTCGATTTTCCATTAGAACATTTGTGTCTGAAGTTGATAATGCATTTATTCAAACATCTAAATTGTTTTTGGTTTTATGTTTTAATGGAATGTATTCAGTAGTTTCTATATATTGGGCATATATGTTGTAAGTTAGTAAGTATTATTAAAAGTTTATATAAAAATTATACTTATCTTTAAATTATTAAATAATTTTCATCTTGCTACAACAGAAAAAAATAACTTTTTTGTATTTTTTGTATTATTCTTTTGTATTTCTTTTAAAAAATTTTTTTGTTTGTTTGTTTGTTTTTTTGTTGTTTTTGTTGAGACAGGGTTTCTCTGTGTAGCCCTGGCTGTCCTGGAACTCACTCTGTAGACCAGGCTGGCCTCAAACTCAGAAATACTCCTGCCTCTGCCTCCCAAGTGCTGGGATTAAAGGCGTGCGCCACTACTGCCGGCTCTTTTATTTTTTAAATATATATATTCCTTTTTCTCTTTAAAATTCATGACCTCTTTATTGTTAATTGTTATGTTTTTATATGTTATGTTGTTAATTATTTTATGATACACACACACACACACACACACACACAATTCTAACCTGTTTAGTCTCTATACTATTACTTGCTTGTATTTACTTTCATGGTTGATCATTTGATATTGGTGTACTTTTCCCTGGGGAAGACTATCCTCCTTACTTTCAGCATTCCCAAGTTGCTTGTAGTTCTCTATGTAGGTTGAGGCCTCTTGAGATTCCCCTCCCCACGTCCCTCACTGCCCTCATGTATGTTATTAGCATGTGCAGGTCATGTTTAGGCAGTCGTGCTGGTCTAATATTCTTAAGAGACACAATCTTAAGACAGAAGCACAACAAATCCTCTGGTTCCCCAGCTTCAAAAATTCTTTCTGCCCTGTCTTCTCCATTGACCTCAGAGTCTTAGGTGCTGGAGTTGTGTTGTAGATTTATCCCCTGGGATTGGGCTCCACAACTCTCTGTTTTGATTGGTTATGGTTTTCTATAGTGGTTTCCATCTGTCACAAAGAAGTAGTTTCCTTGGTAAGTGATGAGGAGTGCACTTACCTGTGGGTGTAAGGACAAATATTTAGAATGTAGTTTGGTTTTGTGCATTTTTAGAAATTCTCAAGAGTCAGCTAATTACTATAAAATGAAAACAAATGCATGTGTGCTAGAGAAATAGAAAAGATCATCTAATTTAGTATTATTTGCACAGATAGAAACACATTTTAGAAGGATGGTGTCTACTATTACAATGACTGTGCAGTATCTTATGTCACTTGGCAAAGTGTGAATTAAACTGGCATTGCTTTGGCAGCCTCATCTACACAGGTCTGAAACTAAAAGACAGTAAAGAATTACTATTCGTAATCATACTTTATAGTAAATAGCCTTTGGAAAAGCAAAATATGAAATCTTTCAATTTAACCAGACATATAGCTGAAGCACAGCCAGGTAGAGTGCTGGAAATAATAAGAAATATTGCCCATATTAACTCTTAGAGTGTTGATGAAATAGTATTCAACCACTTATTGCTATATTTTTCTGTTACTTTTTCTCTATTGGTATAGAGTTGTGGTGAAGTTTTTTGTATGTTTTCTTTTTCTTTGTTATGGAAGTTATATGTGGTCTACATTTGAACTACTTCAAGCATTTTAGAAGAAAAAAATATTAGAGAATTTACAGCTAGATCTTCACCTTTCATTTCACACTGTGGTCTGTCTATTAAGAAAACTTGCATCTGATAATCCAGTAAATTCTCCTGTGAAGGAAACTGGAAGGACCTTGTTAAACCTCTGTGTTTGATATGGACAGGCCTTTGGAGGATATTTCTTCCACTTCTTTACCATTACTTTCAAACTAGTTTACAACATTTATTAAATTGTTTTTATATTTCTTATTAGAAGATTTTTAAGGGCCCATTTAATCTTCCTAACTTCTGTGTATTGTGTGTTTTAGTCCTTATGTCTTGATTTGCTGGTCCCTTGCATATCTGCCTCAACTGAAAGGGCATACATATTTTTTTCTTTAATGCTTTTTTAGCATCTCAATGAATCTGTGTCTTATATGTAGTTATCTACTTAATAATGGAAATGACCCAATTCAGAAGGTATGGGATCCTTAAGACAAGGAACAGTAGGTACAGTGAAATTTAGATGTCAGTAGTGTAAGACAGTTGCCTCTCTGTAATTGTTACCTCCCTAAACACTCCTTGTCCTGGGGTGTTAGAAAATTCTTTCTTGGATAACCAAGGTTAGCCTGGGAAAAATTGAAAGCTTATCCAAGTTAAATAATAGGTGCACTGAGATTGATTCTCAGAATCTCCTCTCTCCTGCTTCCTAACGTGAATTGCAAAGTAATTACAACTAAGAGAAACAGGGCGGAGGAGATGGTGGCTCAGTGGGTAAAATGTTCACTGTGCAGGCACAGAGACTCAGGTTCAGATTCCTAGCAACCAAGAAATAGCTGCCACAGTGGCTTGCTCCTGTGACCTTAGCTCCAGGAGAGGAGGCAGGCAGTGGTAGGGTAGAACAAGGGATTCTAGTGCTCACTGGCTATCCAGCCAAGCCAAATTGCCCATCTCTAATGTCAGCGAGAGACTCTGTCTCAGAAATTAAGGTGATGGAGTGACTGACAACAGACACCCTAGGAAAACCACCATTGACTTCCATACCAGGTCGAGTGATAGCAGCTGCATGCGTGCGCGCGCACGTGCGCGCACACACACACAAACACACACACACACCCCCACACACATACACACGAATATGCACACGTGTGCACACATGCACACACACACTCCCTAAAAGCAGTCACTGAGAACAAACAGCAAAAAGTCTTGTCATAAGTTGCAGTGCACTTCAGCATGGCCCACAGTGAGCTAATAGTTGCAGAGGTAAGAAGCTTAGCGTGATTTAACAACTTAATCTAGTTCTGGTTATCAGAGATGCAGTATGAATTTAGTCCTAGTTATCAGATACAGAGAATACAGTACTAATCTAGTCCTACTTGACAGATAACAGAGATACAGAACTATTGAGTACACTGAATTGTCCTTTGGATTCCCAAACTGGGAAGCCAAGTAAAGGCGTTTCTCTTTTCTTGTTATTTTTCAGAGAAGTGGTAGACATAGCAACTGGATAGTAAGGAGTGCGAGTGGACTCTGACATGCACGTTCTGAGAGAAGTGAAGACTCCTGGGCTCCTACTAAGTCTCATCTAAGCGGCCCTCTAATTAGAATGAAGTGTGGCCCCAAGATAAGGTAGACCTTCTGATGATATTTAGTAATAAACTCAAGAAAGGGACCCAGGAACCAGAAACTTCTTTAGACTGTTGCTTCTGGTGACCTCTGTATCTCCCCCAACCATTCCTTCGACAACAGAAAAGTGAGGGTCAGAAAATACGTGACTCTGGGGAGAAATAAGCTGCTTTCAAATAAGAGGTAACTAGAATTAAGTAGTAAGCCGCAGACTGGAGACTCCTGGTCCCAGCTAGAGTAGGTCATGGCTGAGCTCTCTTACAGTGGCATGATTAGAAAAGGCAGGTAAGTTTAGGAAAGCACATTTTAAAGGTACAGTAAAGCTACGAAGCAGAAGAGCTAAACTAAGAACCCAGCAAGAATGAGTCCTTCGAAGATCACTCTTCTTAGTGTGTTGGTGATTGCTTCCTGGTATTTGCGGGTTTGGGGATATACACTGAGGATTGCTATTGGCCACATAAAGAGCCCCAACAAAGGAAAGAAAGAGACACGTGAGTGAAGCTTTGTGTGTTTTGAGAGGCTGACTCCTCATTACCTAATATACAGCAGTATTTTTTTTTTCTACCAAGGGCACTTAAAATTCTGTCCTAATTAACCCTTATTAACTCTGGAAGTTATTTTATAGATCACATTGGTAGCAAGTAGCAGGATAAGGTTTTATATTTAGGTTCTAGAGTTGAAAGTTTGGTTCACTGCCAAAGAGTAAATGAAAGGCTCATAAAGCTATTGCTTAGGTGACCTTCTTTATTTAGCTGTGTAGTTGAATTTTCTCTGATAGCAAAAGATACTATTTTGTATATGTACAAATTCTTCAGTATCAAATAAAAGACATAAAATCTCCATTCTTTTGAAAATTGGTAATATAAGAATGAAAAGATACATTTGGAGCAACTTATTTAAGATACATAGTTAGCAGGTATCTTGAGGCTAGTTGCCCTTTCCAAGCCTGTTAATTGTGTAGTGGTAGCTTAAGACTTAATATCTTAACTCTGTTGATGCCTGCCCAGAGCTTTAACTAGAGTCAGGCTTTCCTATGTGAAGTATTGTTTTCCTCTTACTGGGAACCTCCTAATAATTTAAATTTAAAAAGAGGTGTGGCAAAGGACTTTCCCAGTGTGTGACATGACAAACCTGAAGTTTGTTGTAATTTCACTGTGGATAGCAATCTCCCCAAAGGAGAGAAATTTTGGAAGAGAATACTTCCAATCCTTTTCTCTCATACAACTTGAACATAAAATGATTTTTAACAGCCATGTATGAATCTGGACATTATTCTGAGTTGTTTGGTACTTCAAAAGCACTTTCAAGAGGAAATTGTTTTGTTTATTTGTGATTCCAACTAAAATATACAGAGAGATTTGGAAGATTTGCAACAGGAAGTAACCTTATTTCTATGTGACCATTAATCTTGTGCAGAAAAATTCTGCTTTTATGAACAAAGGAAAAGCATTCCCTTTCAAGTTTTAAATGCAAGCCAATGTAGCTTGCACTCTCTTTAATAACTGAATAAATTTAAAAATGAAGAAGTTGATTATAAAGTCTGTGTTTTGACCTACATTCTGTTATCCTTTCAGAATTGGCTTGGACCTGAGAAATCTGATCCAGCAGAACTTACATTATAGGAATATCTGCTTCATCTGTGTTATAATAGCTATCCAGTGTCTGCATTGATCTCCAGAGTGAACATGCATATCTTATATATGTCTCCGTATATACATATATATTTACATATATTCATAATCTCTATTCCTCTGCATTTTGGTGTTTGAGACAAGGGGGACTTCACACACCTTTCTCTCTCTCTCTCTCTCTCTCTCTCTCTCTCTCTCTCTCTCTCTTTCTCTCTCTCTCTCTCTCTCTCCCTCTCTCCCTCTCTCTCTCTCTTTCTTCCTCTCTCCCTCTCTTTCTCTCTCTCTCTCTCTCTTTTGGTTTTTTGAGACAGGGTCACTCTGTGGCTTTCATTATCCTAGAACTTGCTTTGTAGACCAGGCTGGCCTTGAACTCACAGAGATTTGCCTGCCTCTGCCTCCTCAGTGTTGGGATCAAAGTTGTACTGCACAGGAATGCTTGTGTGTGTGTTTGTTTTCTAACTTCTGTAATGTTAACAATTCTGTGGGATGACTATGACTCATCTCATTTATGTGTGGTCATGTTCGAGGTTGATGGCTTACTCAAGACTGTCTAGTTAATAAGGGTCTAGCAAGATGGAACAGTGGATAAAGGTGCTGGTTGTTTTTTTTTAAGTTTTTAAAGGGTTTTTTTTTTGTATTTTGACATGTGTTTATGGTTAATCATTTTTTTCTCACCTGTATCTGTCTGTCCTCATTCCTATAAGAACCCACTGTGCTGTAACTTTAGTTTTCTGAATTTTTATACTTTTTTGTGCAACCTTTTACATCTTTGTGATTAAAAACCTTCAATAGTTTTTCATGGAAAAATATGGAACATAGTTCTTTTTTTAAAAAAAAATCACAGATCTTTTATTTAAAGTCTCCATAGTTTTAACTTTTAAAAATTATTATTATTTTTACTATTATGAAAATGGTTTGATTAGTCTTAAAGATAATTTATTATTCGAAGTAAAATTGGTTTTTATGAAACTGCTGGGAAGGATGCTAGTCTCATAACCTTTAAAGTATAGTTGGTGATTTCATTGCCATTGTCTTTGCAAACATATGCGTGAATTGAAACACTGGTCTCTGACTACATAACATGTAATTACTGAATATAATATATAATTAGATTTTAATCGGTAAATACTCATAGTTGTATCAAACATAAGTATAGTTTGAAGTGTTAAAAGGATATGGCGTAGCATCTATTGATTTGGAGAAACCTCCCATAATAATGAATGGTTATAGACAATGGGAAATCGTGTCATTGATGATATTCACGTTATGTGTGTAGACTGCATTGTTCCGAAATCTTTTCCTACTTCTTTAAAAGCTCTGTAGTCTTGTATTTGCAGAATGCATTTCCAAACTGTATGTCTTCCTGTCTTACTTCATAAATGAACTTTTCCTTCTCCCTCTCCCCATGCCCTGCCCTTCAGTGTCTCAGAGTATTATCCAGGCCTTCAGCGTTGATCCTCCTACTTTATCCTCTGAGTGTTAAGACTACTGCGCTGTGTCTACACCCCACTTAAAGCTAACTTTATCTGTGTGATTTCTTCTATTTATGAGAAAGTTGAGCTTAAATTTCTTATCTCTGAGGTTAAATGCAAGGGTATATTTTGAAATTTCAACCATTAAAACTCTTTATTGCATCTTTGTAAAATGACATAGCTAAAGACTCCCTCCGGTTTTCTCAAATACATGTGTTAAGCAAGAAGACATGACTTGCCGTTGTTTATGCTCCTCTTGTTGAGCATTTGCTATCTCTCTTTTAACTTCTCGACCCTAATTTTTGTCTTAGTATTTTTCCTTCCACCAGTATCTTTAATCACGTGTCCTATCTTTCAAAGCTTTGTGCTCTTGTAAGATAGAGAACTCCCATCCTTTTATGATTGTATGAGTATGTATTATTACTTCACTTATCATAACACTCACTCCAAAGCAGCTCAAAGGAGCATGTTACAAAATTCCTAAGGAGTAAGTAATTAGAAATTTTAGAACTGTTATAAAAATATAAACTCTCTGGATAAAGCTAGTATTGCTAAATGCACTAAGAGGCTAATCATGGTAACAAGTGCATTTGAAAACTGAGACAAAATATGATTAAAAGTTCCAAGTGAGTGGTGGGACTTGTAAGGACAGTCTCCATATTGTGTGTCAATCACTAGGGAGCGTGTATAGAACTAAATGGAAAATGAGACAGAATATAATGGCATATTTTTTCTTTTTTGTTAGCAGATGAGGCAAACATTAATTAGATCCCAGTTTGCTTGTACTTATAAAGATGACTCCATAATGAGCAAGAATAAATGGAATGTTAACTCATCATCAAAGCCGTTGTCTGCCCTTCACTTGAAAAATGATGTTTCTGGTAATTGACCTTATTTGAACAATTAATTGGTTTTACTTTAGTAAAAACTCGATTATTTCTGCAGCATACTAAGAAATGTAAAGATGTGGGTCTTTAGGCCTGGATTGTTTTAGAAATTGAATCTAAGTACAGATTTATGAAAAGGAATATGATATAATATAATTTAATCTAACTAAGTAGATTTAGAAAATACTTCATAGTTTTGTCTGTTGTGTTTTTACATAGGTATTGTTCAGGATGAGAGGTGGCATAGTAAAATGAAAGTTAGTGCGGTAACTGCTACGTCTGGTGACGAATTAGTAGGATTATTATATTATAAATATGTTTTAAATGGCCTAGCCATTTTTAATGATTATTTCATATGCCTCATGATTTATAATACTAAGCATCATTCATTGTTCCTTTCCCTCTTGTCCTCCTTCATGACAGAGGGAGTACAGTCATCTATTGGAAAAGCAAGAATTGGAACAAGTTCTGAAAATGTGTGTATGGACAGAAGTAAGGATGATAAAATACCAAGAAAATCTACAAAAAGGAAGATATTGAAGAGGAAACAGCTGGATTTAGACAGTGAGAATATTCACTGTGTTCATGGAAATGAACTGTACCAACATAAGAATGTTAAGATCCCTAAAGTGCCCAGTGGCTCCCACAGTGGAGCTGGTGGTGGCAAACTAGCCCAAGGAGCAAAAGGCATTAGATGTACTGCCAAGGACAAATTGATTCCTGGCCAGACCAAGTTGACACAGTTTTTTATGCTATGATTTTGTCATCTATGTGCTTTAGATTTAGGTATATATGAGACCATTCACCAAAGAAAGCTCTGAGCTAACTCTTTAACTCCTAAGAATTAATTTTTTGTTTTTTTATGAATGCTTTCACCTTTGTTTCTCAATATACCTGTGGTAACAAACAGTTCACGTGAAACATTGTTTAGTGACTTGTGTGGGTTTTATACACAGACTGGGTGGAATGAAGGATAAGAACATTTATTTAGCTCAGCTTCCAACAAATCAAAGAGGGTGCCCAGAGGGTCCTCACCCACATCTTTAATGCCCTCTATTCCTCTGGGAGGGCAATAGCTCCTTAAAAGGTAAGGAGGGAAGTAGATCTCTGTTTCTTGAGATTCAGTTGGTCATTTATAATGGTCGATTGAAGATGGTTCTCCTTCATTTTTTGGATCAGTTTCTGGATACTGGGATTTACTCCATTAAATTTAAACCTGAATGTTTGAAGGAGGCAAGTTTCAAGTTTCAAGGCTGCATAGAATGTCTTTATTACATCAGTTCCCAAGATGTTCTCTTGTGATGCTTTATTATTTTGATAAATGTATGTGAGGCTCACATATTAAACACTGTTCAAAAATACCAGCAAGTCAGAATTATGCAGAATTTTTGTGAAGTTTAATGCACAAGTCAAAGCATGTCATTTACATTATTACATATCTTAACCAATTTCTTTTTAAAACAGACATTTAGGATAATACACAGGTTATATCAACATTAAGGGCTTTCCTCTCCACTTGCAATGAATTGTTTTCTTCTGGAAGGATGTTATGGACCAACAGGTATCAGACTTGCCAACATGGTCGGTAGACTCTTCCCAGCATGCACCTGAGCACTGAAAGGAAACAAATGACTATAATTACCACACAGAATTAAGAAAAACTTATAATGAATCCGGAATAAATCAAACCACTATACTGATTTTGAAAAATTCACCATTTTGACATGGGTTGCCTACTATTTGTTAATATTTGTTATTTGTTAGAACTAAACTATGGTCTTGATTTTGTTATGGTCAGATCAGACTCAGTTAAGCTCAGAGCTCTTTTATAAAATTAATATGTAGGAATTGAATGTTTAGAAGACTACTCACTGTCAAAATCTCTCCTTCCTATGGGAAATTTAGCTGAGTTTTCTTCATCCCCAATTTCTCTCTTTTCTTGTGTGGACTCAGTATTCTGAACTCCATTCTCAGCTGGGAAGGCTACTGATCCTTTCAGAGCGAGGTAAGGTTTTACAGCCAGACTCAGTGGCAGACCGTGAGTTACGAGATTCTGTTTGGAGCCTGTGTTCTGTGAAGAGAAGATTGGTTTGTATCCCAGCTTGTCTTCTTCAGAGTAGAGCTAAAATACAGTTGTACAACATTCGTGCTAATCAATTCTAAGATGCTCTACACTATGTTCACCTCCCAACATGTGAGATACAAGATACAAAGCTTTTGGATAGGATGGGGAAATACCTGGTTAGTATGAAATTTTCCTAGTTATCGTAATGCACACAATGACTGCATGTATGCCTATGTCTAAAATTAAAATACAAAGTGTACTTCTGGGTGGTTTTTAATTATAAAAGTCATTTTCATTTCTAGTGTGATAAAAAGTGGACTACATATACTTACCTTTATGTTTTTATTGTCGTCATCATTCATGAAACCGCTCTCGTCGTTTTTGTATTGTTCCAGAGAAGGAGCAACAACTGATCGTTCCGCAGTATCTTCCTTCTGAAAGGCTTTCCCCATCCTAAATGTATTAAATACTATGTCATCTTCTAAATTCCGTATGGACTTGGAAGCTGAAAGTAAAATACCTTGAGAAAACAAAGAAAAGGCCAGCATTAACACGTAGGAAGAGAGATTCATCTTTGCCATCCTTAGTTTGAAGCTTGTGTAAAGCCAAACAAGAATGGGTTGGATGAAAAATTTCACACTCTGCCGGTGGCTAAATGATTCCTACCTTTATATACTTTTTGCCTGAATAGAGAACACTTGAAGGCTTTATCTTTTCATTTTAGAAATGACTCATCCCGCAGAGCCCCTCCTTTGTAAAGCTGCTAATACATGCATTGTTTTGGATTTAGTGGCCTGTTGTTTATTTCGTGTGTGAATTTTCTCAGAATCTGATTAAGATCTTTGAGAGGAGGCTTTCTGTGAGCAGATTATAGGCTCTTGAAAGTGGGATGTTATTAAGGAAAGACCACAGGACACCAGGCTCTCCTAGTATTACAGTTTCCTTCTGTATAATTTCTGATTAAGATATTAAAACATGTTATTTAATTCATGGATAATAAGGATAAAAATGTTATGTCCTTTTAATCCTTATTAAGTAGAAGTTATTGCTAGAAAAGAGTTTCCTTTATAAATACTTGACATGGTCTTTTGTGAGGAAAGTACATATGCTTGTCAGTATAAACAACAACAACAAAGACTGCTCTTACTTCATCTAAAACTTACCTGTCTGTGTTCTTTATCTGAGTTCCTCTGAGTGAATTTAGTAAATAGTTGATGAAGAAGTCTGAAAAGAATATTCACGGTCTCCATAAGGATTAATTTTGGAAGTTTTAGGTTTTTGCTTGATTTCTATTTATTGAGACAGGGTCTTGCTATGTAGTCCTAGCTGCCCTTAGATTTATGGCACTCCTCCAACCCCACCCTGCCAAGTGCTGCGATTATAGGTATGTGCTGTGCCACCATAGCCAGGTTAGATAACGTGTTTTTAAATTATATTTCAAAATTAATTTCTAAGATTCTAATGGATGATACATTCTCACTCATATATTCACGTGTGTGTGTGTGTATGTGTGTGTGTGTGTATGTGTTAACAAAACTGTGTTTCTAGGTATGGAATTTCTAGGGCATAGACTATGTATATGTTTGGCTTTAGAAATGCCAAATGTTTTTCAAAATAGTTGTAACCAATTTATGCTTTCATTTAACAGGGTACAAGAATCCCTATTGCCTATTGTTTGACCTTGACAATGCTAAAAAGGTTGGAATTTTAGTTGTTGCTGTTTTATATACTCTCTCCTCTTGTTCTGAGATTTGAACCTAGGGTTTGCACATGCTAGCCAGATGCTCTACTGCTGAACTGAGTCTCTAGCTCTTTTTTTTTTTTTTTTTGGTTTTAGTTTTTAGATAGTGTAATACTCTTTTCCAGTGTAGCCTTGAACTCACCCTGTAACCCACATAGGCCTTAAGTTTTCAATCCTCCTTAACATCTAGAATAGCAAGAAGTCCAGGCCTGGCTTTTGATTGTTTTTTGATAACTGATTACAAACACTCTTTATACAGTATTCTGGACAGTAGATATACATCTTGGAAATATTTTTCTTGGTTTGGGGCTTGTTATTTTAACTTGTTTGTGGTATGTTTTGGTGATCCAGTCTGCTTTATATTAATAATATATGAATTTTTCTTCATATTTGATTATTTCTAATATGTTGTTTTTAAAAAAATCTTCCCTAACTCTGCAATTATTAACATATTTCAATTTTTCTTTTTAAAATGTAAATTTGTAAATGTGTTTATTTTCACATTTATTATTTATTAATTAAATCTAAAAGATTTAGAATGTAGCAAATGGTGGTATATTTGGGCTTTTATGTTTCTGGTATCTGCATACCTCCTGGGCCATTCTGTGCCTCTTTCAGCTGATCTGCTGTACTATCTTCAGGACGCCGGGCTTCCTTGAATGTGTGGGTCGCTTTCTGAATTCTTCACCCTGCTTTCAGATCAACCACCTTATCCATTTATATTTTAACGTCTAGTGGATGAAGCCTACCAACCATCTAGTTGGCCATCCATTTCTCTTAAACAGTTCCTTGGCTATTCTTGGACAATTCTTAGTTCAAAAGCATATGGATTCTCATAGGACTTTCTCTGAAGACATGCTAGCCCAGACTCCCAGCAAGTGTTGAAATGGAGTGAGCAGACATCTTTGCAGTAGTAATGATTTTATAGAGAATAGTAACACTTTATCCTGGAGCACAGCCTTAGATCTCCTGTCTACTGTCTAAATGGCAGGAGATTCCTATTTCTGCCTCACTGACAATTTTACCTAAATTATTGGATTTTATTAATACTTAATACTTAATACTATATGTATTTTAGAAATGATCATATAATTTTCTTCAGTCTTTAGTAAGCTAATAGATTTTTTCTAGTATTGAAGTTTTCATATGCTTGTAAAACAAAATCTTTATTTATATTCAACATGTAACTATTTCAGTAATAACTTATTATCATAAATGTGATCTATAAGTTCTCTTTTTATTATTGAATTTGTCTGACTTTGACATTAGATTATAATAACTTCATAGGATGTAGTGAGGAGAGCCTATTCCTTTACTGTTGACCCATTTGAAAGTGGAATTCTCTCTGTAGGATTTAAATTTTGTTTGTTTTCTTTGGTTTTAATCTATAGATAGGAATGTAATTTTACCTTTTTTTAAATGTTCTTTGACATATGCAATTTAAATTTTATCAGATAGAAATAGTTAATGCCAAATCACTTTGAGCTACCAAAATCATAATAGACAAGTGTTTTCTGATGTCTTTGTTCTTAAGAAAGTGCTTATCTGTTTTTTGCTGTTGTTTGTTTGCTTTTAATCTTCTTAATGCCATTACTCAAGGCCCGGTTTGTTTTCTAGCATTTAAAACCTGCTTTGGAGGTGTCTGTAATCTATAGAAGTGCTTGTTAATACTAACCTTTTCCTTTTCTTCCTAGTTGCAATCTTGGAGTATAATAAAATATTAATAACTATGTATTTTGTTTTAAGTTTCCACTGAGTGAATTGTTTTGGCTAGGTGTCCTCTAAAATTGGGGCCAAATCCAAACCATTCTGACAGTTTAAAAAATTAGTTAGTGTTTTCCTTTATTTTGTTTAAACTGTTCTGGCTTCTGTCATGAGGTTTCCCATAACTATTTAATGATGGAGATAGTTTCCAATTTTTAATGATAACTTCTTTTACATCGGTTCCTCTGATGTGCAGCAGAGCATGGCAGATTTCTTTTTCACTGATGCTGAAAACAAAAGTTCCTCCAGTAGGAAGCAACTCTGAAGAAGAAAAACTATTGCCAGATGGAGTTGTATGGCTCAGGAAGCCTGTGTAAGTACTAGTTTTATCTGAAAGGAGGCTCCATTTTCTGAGGAACTTCATGCAGCATCTTTGTAAATGATTTTATCATTAAACTTCTCTCTTGTCCAGTTAGCGTACCCTTTCTATGTAATGAGTGTACATTGGCCGAGAATCATGTCTGATGACACTGATATTTTTTGCCTTTTCAGGTGATCAGTTATCCTAAAAGCCAGAAAAGCATGAACTGTGTATTCAAATAGTTTTTCCTTAGTTTATTGCTTTACAAAAATAAAGAAAAAATGGCCCATGAGTACATAATTTAGTGTTCATCTTAATAATATATAAGATGATTTTCAATAAGACAGAAAATATGAAGGTCTGTTAACCATTGGTAGACTATTGATACTGGGACCGACCGACTCTCCGTTAGCCATTCTCATTCATGGTTCGTGGTGCTTCATTGAGGTTTTAGTTCCATTTCCCAGAGAACTCATGCTGAGAAGAGTTTTATCTATCAATGTATCTTCTGTGTATAAACTTTTGCCCTGACACTTTTTATAAGGTATGTTTGTTTCCTTTTGTTAATTGAGTTGTAAGATTTAATTATTTCTCTCTCTCTCTCTCTCTCTCTCTCTCTCTCTCTCTCTCTCCTTCTCTATCTCTCTCTCTCTATCTCTCTTTCTCTCTCTCCTCCCTGTATGTGTGAGGTTATTATCTTCTTAAAAGAATTTTAATAAGCATAAAATTTTCTTTTTGATTAAACAAAAATTTTTAAATTAAGAATTGTTATTGAATTTTATTCTCTAAGAAATATTTACTTATTTCTAATACATGAAAAGGTATTCTTTCATTTCTGAAGCTTTTTTTTTAAAAATCTTACTTTTAAATCTATCATGTTTTTTATTAATTCTTACATTTTATAAGTGGTAGAACAGATAGTTCCTATCTTTTTTTTCCTTCCACATGGAGATCCAGCCATGTCATCATATTAGCTGAAAAGTGGTTTTTCCCTCTTGGATTGCTTTGCTTTGATGTCTGTATGAAGAGTTAGATCCCTAACAGTAAAGAATGGTTTGGGACTTCCTAACCCATTTGTTTATTGGTTCATGTATTCATTTAAATTTTAGTACTGTATTATCTTGATGCATAATATAAACACTTCCTAAGGGAGCAGATTTTAAGGGTTCTGGAATAGCTTTGCTATATATCAGTTTGTGTGGAGGAACTTTTATCCAGCAATATAGCTGCTTTGGCAAGGGATCACATCTAAAGACCTTCTAGATCTGTGTGATCTGGTTGGTATGACACACCTTTAATCCCTCTGTCTAAGGCACACCCTTAAATATATACCTTTAATTCCAAATAAGGAAGGCAAAATTAGTATGTAGAAGGAAGCAGCCATGTTTGAAAGTTACATCTAATTGAGGGGCAGACAAGTTGACAAATCAGAGAAAGACTTGACAGAATGGGTCAGAATCAGAGACAGGATCTGCCCAACTCTGACAAGAACAGGAATTGGGAGTCAGTTGAAGGGAGTGGAGTGGTGTTGAGTTTGTGACAGTTTGGTTGGTGGCAGTTCAGTTCATGGAGTTCACAGGGAGTTCTTTTTACAGGAACAGTTTTATAGACAGGTTGCAGAGAGAACAAGGTAGACACAGGTGAAGACTGAATGAGCCAGAGAATGAGAAGGAGCCAGAAGAATAGAACAAATTGGTAGTGTTAGTTTTAGGCCAAGCAGAGCAATTCAGTCAGAAGCTGGGATAAGCCATATTGAATCAGTCAGCTTGGAGAGGCGTTAGAGCCAGAACAGCTGAGTTGAATCAGTCAGCCAGAGTTCAGAAAGAGCTAGGA